CTGTGACTGCAGGGAGGTGCTCTCCCCACCATTATGCAGGGTACATGGAAGGGGTGGGGAGATTTATGCCCCCAGGATCAACCTTTAACAAATAATGAAAGGAGGTAGTGGATACATGCCCTAGGTTGCTTTGTACCCAGATAGGACAACTCTAAGGTATGCTCTATACACTTTACCCAAGTCCTCAGAGGGACTGAGCTACAGTTGTCCACACTTGCTCCTTAGTGCAGCCTGTAATGGTTTCCTTCCCTTGCCTATCTCCTGCCCCCACTCTCTTAGCTTCCTGGGGTTGGGGTTGCTGGATAAAGCACTGGATGCCCAACTACATTTGAATTTCATATAAACAATAACTTATTTTTTACTGTAAGTATGTACCAAATACTACATGTGACATAACTTACACTAAAACTTTTTTTTGATTACTTGAAATTCAAATGTAGCTCTTGAATCTTTACAGTAGTTCCCTTTATCCTCGGGTGGTTTTTTTTTTGTTGTTGTTTTTTAAATATATTTTTATTGATTTTACAGAGAGGAAGGGAGAGGGATAGAGAGTTAAAAACATAGATGAGAGAGAAACATGGATCAGCTGCCTCCTGCACATCCCCTACTGGAGATCGAGCCCGCAACCAAGGTACATGCCCTTGTCTGGAATCAAATCCGGGACCCTTCAGTCTGAGGGCCAACACTCTATCCACTGAGCCAAACTGGTTAGGGCCTTGGTTTTGTTTTTCACAGTATTAGTTACCCTTAGTAAACCATGGTCTGAAAATATTAAATGGAAAATTCCAGAAATAAACAACTCATAAGTTTTAAATTGTGTGCCATGCTGAGCAGTGTGATAAAATCTCCTGCCACCTGGGATGTGAAATCATCCCTTTGCCTAGCATCACTACACTGTATACAATCCCCACCTGTTGGTCATTTAATAATCCTCTTGGTTATCAGATCAGCCGCCGTGGTATCACAGTGCTTGTGTTCAAGTAAACCTCATTTTACTTAATAATGGCCCAAAGGGGAAGAGTAGTGATGCTGGCAATTCGAATATTCCAAAGAAAAGCTGTAAAGTGCTTCCTTTAAGTGAAAAGGTGAAAGCTCTCTACTTCAGCAAAGAAAAAATATTGTATGATGAGCTTGCTAAGATCTACGATAAGAACAAATCTTCTATTAGTAAAATTGTGAAGAAGTAAAAAGAAATCTGTGCGTCTTATTGTCAGACCTTACGCTATAAATCCTCTGGCCACAGCACATGCTATGTGCTTTATTAAGATGGAAATGGCACTAAATTTGTGGGTGGAAGATATGAACAGAAAATGTATTCCCATGGATGGTAACATGTTGCCCCAAAAAGCATTGAGCCTATACAAAGACTTCAGCAAGGGATCCTCTGAAATGAGTGAAACCGACCCATTTACTGCAAGTAAGGGATGCTTACACAGATTTAGGAATAGGCTGGGACAAAAAATGAAAAAAATTATTGGAGGAGAGAAAGAAGAAGGGAATAAAGGAGAGAGAGAAAGAGAGAGAGAAAAAACATTCACATGACTTTTATTACAGTATATTGTGATGATTGTTCTATTTTATTTTTAGTTATTGCTGTTAATCTATCACTATGCCTAATTTATAAATTAAACTTTACCATATAGGAAAAACATAGATATATAGGCATCCACTGGGGTCTTGGAGGGTAGTCCCTGAGGATAAGGGAGAACTGCTGTGTTTGCTAATTTGGAAATCCATCTGGGATTGCTTTCCAAAAAATCTACTGTATTTGTATCCTTGCCTTGGGGTCTGCTTCTGATGGGGCCCAAACAAAGACAGTGAAAAACTATCCTGGAGGAATAAACTTTGAAGAAGAAAAGAACAAACTTCCGAAGCAACATTCTACTGCAAGATTCAAATCAGGTTGAAAAGATCAAGGGCTGGTGCTCTGATACCAGCTATAAACTAGGTACTGGGAAAAGGCCCCACATCAGCTTCAGCACATTGAGTCCAATGAGTAGAAGCCATCATCTCATCAGGAAAGCACCTGTTATCCGCTCACCTTCATCAAGCTTAGTGCCATGTATCATTAGTATAGCAGTGCTGTGATGCTGCTCTATGGATTCCATCACCAAATGTCCTAACTGTCTATCACTGAAGAGCCTCTTTTTCAATAAAAGGATATAACTGAGTAGGGAAATGAGTAGCCATGCATCCCTGGTGCTTCCCTTGACCCGCTACTTCCCAGCAATAGGTTGGGCTAGATTACATCAGCGTTGAGGCTCTCAGATGCATTATTATTAATGAGCTTTCCAACTGAGGCTTGTTTGTTAATAATTTAATTAAAACCCCAAGTGTTTACTTGTTGCTGTTCCTCCTGAGAGATCCCTCTGCAAATTCTGGGTAGGAACTAATTCACCCATTCACCCCAATAACCGCCAACGTTTTCCAAGCTGATATTTACTGAGCCCTGATTCCTTATTTCCAGGAAACTCTCCAAGCCTTAATGGAGGTGTGGTTTCATTTCTCATCACTGTAAAAATAAGCCTTTCAGAACATCTGCTTCTCCTCGGCATGCCTGGTGATTTCTTTGTCTTGAATTTCAATAGCAGTTCAGTTTGTTTATTACTCTTGTTCATATGCAGCGAATACAAATTGTTGGTGCTAATGGAAGGTTGCGTTCAATTCAGGTAGAAAACTTGTTCAAGTATTGAACAAAACTGTTGGTTTATGAATATGTGGTAACTTCTCTGGATATTTTAAATGATATCCCTCCGATGCTATCTAATTTGCACATTCACACTATTATTATTTTAATGTAATAGTGGGCTCTTTCATCTCAGTCATAGATAGCGACAATCTGTGGCAGTATCAGCAAACCTGAAGGCTGCCAACAGCACTCAAGTCACTGGGGAATGCAGTGAAGTTCACTTTAAAGAAAATGATGCTCACTTTTCCATGCATTCCGCAGAGCTCCTTTTGATTTCCACGTTGAGCCTATTGACTTCAAAGTGTCCTTTCAGGATCACTCAGAAAGCCAGACAGCCATTGTGTCCCCATTCCTTGACTTTGCTCCATGCCCGGCACTTGTTTGAAATCTGTGGGATGCTGGCTAGAAGAAGCAGCTCAATAGGCGGCAGAGAGACACAAGTGTCTGGTCTCAAACCTCCTTTCTGGAATGATTACAAAACCAAGTAGAGACTGGGGAACTGGGTCTCATCTTGCCAATGAGACATATTCTGAAATGAGTCCTCAGATCCAGCATGGCAGGAAAATGGCTACAAAGGAAGGTACTTCATATAGGGTGCTCACATCTCTCTCCCCTGCCTGCGCTAGCTTCACCATTTTAAATATTAGACAGACACCAGTTTGGGGAAAATAATCTCCTGATGTACACGTTAGTGAATTGCTTGAATATAGATGAGAGATCAAGGTGGATGAAGATAGCTTTCAGAATTAGCTTTCATCTCACTTCTGATTGGAATGGGTGAATGGCAGAAAGCCTGCACAGAGAGTTCTAAGGGGCCCAAAAGGATGCACAGAATGCACTGAGCTTCCTCCTATCTGCTTTCCTAGGCCAGCATTGTTCTGATAATAAGGACCAGATGATTTTACTATTAATGAACAACTCAGGCCAGTATGTAACTTCCTGAGGCCAGCCTGAAGACCCCTAGTGCTGTTGTTCCTTTTCCTTGGTCTAAGTGGTGGATCCTACAAGATATTTGACCATGGCTCAGTAACAACACAGGTGATCGCAGGAGGGGGCCACAGTGACAGGCATCCCAGGTGCACCACCCAGTTAGCTGTCTCAAATTTAGCTTTATAATTAATATCACTTAACTATTAAATGCATTCTGAGCCATTTTTATGTCATCTAGTGTCTAGACCAGCCGTGGGCAAACTACCCGCAGGCCGCCGGATCCGGCCCGTTTGAAATGAATAAAACTAAAAAAAAAAAAA